CGCTCCGCCGCCGGGGGCTGCACAGGTAGGTGAGTCCGCAACGGGACCTCCGGCGGGGCGGGAGGCGGGGAGGGGAGGGTCGGCAGCGCCGCGCAGAGCGGAGCTTCCTCCGGGGAAGCACCGGGGCTTCCCTCGCCTACGACGCCCCCGGTGCCGAGCGGGGCCGGGGAGATCCCCGGGCATCCCCGGGCGCACGGAGGGTCCTGGCGTCCTCACTGTCCCCGGCTCCTCAACCGCATTTCTCGGGGCTGGCGGCGGTCCCCGGAGTCGGTCTGGGGACCCCCGCGTCCTGCTGTGGGCTGGGAAACCCTCGGCGTGGCAGGGGATGGCTGTCCTCGCTGCGGTGTCTGGTCCGCATCCCACCCGCAGGGTGTCCCGGTCCCGTGGACGAAGCAGCCCCTCCCGGGACACCGGGTCCCGGCTCATTCCGGTGGTTTCCCGGGCGGAGGGAAGAGGGTACCGTGGGGCTCTCTTTGTCCCAGGTTACCTCTGGAAGACTCGGGGGGCTGGTGCAGTGTGGGGCTCCGGGCTCTCGGTGCCCTTGGTGTGCCCTGAGCTCTGACTCCCGCTCAGGACCCCGCTGGATGCCGGGGCTCCGGCAGTGCAGGGATCGGCTCTGCACAGGTGTGACCTTGGGGTGTTTCGGCGTGGCAGGGCTGTGTGACGGTGCCCAGCACTCGAGGTACCCGCCTACCTGTGTGCGGGGGCCACCCTCGGCTGGGCACCTCTGCACCACCGCGGGGAGCCCCGCTCAGCCCCCCGGAGCGGGTTTGCCGCTGTTGGGGTGCCCGGTGAGCGGGGGGCAGTGGGACCAGCGGGCAGCTTTGCTGGTGGCAGAGCACGGGGCTCCCGCAGCGCTGAGCTCTGCCTGAGCGGGTGCCACAGGCGCCTGTTAGCGCCAGTGGGATGGTGACAGAGCACCTGGATCCTCCTTCCAGAGCTCCACTGCCACGGCTGGCACAGGAACGGGCTGGGAGCCCTGGACGTGGCGGGACTCAGGGCTAGGAGAGCCGGGCAGAGCTCGGAGCCCTCGGACACGGCCCTTATCTGCTGCCACCACGCTGGGAACTCTTTGCACGCTCAGCTCCAGTGAATTTCCTTTTTCTGTTTTTGTTTCTTTCCTGCTGACGTTTTTCCCCTCCGGAATCAAGGGCTGGATGGGGCCCATGGTTACGGGGTGGTGTGAGCAGCCCGACCCCACGCTGGAGTGGCAGCGGGCAGGGCACAGCAGCATCCAGCACCCACCTGTGCCGGTCCCCTCGAAAGGAGAAAACCCTTCCCGTGCCCGCGTGTGCCCCGGGCGCTCCCGGAGAGCGGAGCCGGGAGCGGGACCTGCCGAGCCGCTGCCTGCACATGTTTTCCGTGGCATTCCCCGGGGGCCACCTGCAGCGGCCGCTCGCCCGGAGCCGGGGATCGCTCTGGTGCGTCCTCCGGCAGCCGCAGGATGCATCGGCCTCCTGCGAGCAGYGAGCGCGGCGCCGTGACCTTGGCAGGGCGGGAGCTCACCCCGCCTCTGGCTCAGCCCGAGCGTCTCCGGTTGTTACAGCCCAGCCCCCGGGGTCTGATCCTGCCACGCAGGAGCCTGGAGCGAGGGGATGACCGGGCATGGGGGGAATGTGAGCCGTGGCGGCTGTGCTGGTCCCCATCCTGGTCCCTGTCCCATGAATAGGGTCAGCTGTGATGCTCACAGCCAGCGCAGTGACAGTTCTGCCCCTGTCCCCCTTGGCCTGACACTGTCCCCTTGCTGTCCCTGTCTCAGATGTGCCAAGTTTAGCTGAAGTCGCTGTGGGTGTGAGGAAGGGAGCGCAGCACCATGCCTGTGGCASAGAGGATTCTCCTTCGCCCCATCACCATGGGACTGCTCCTGCAGAGCCTCTTCTTCCTCCTCTTCCTCCTGAGCTCCTGCCTCCACCCAGCTGCTGCCTTCACCAAGGGCTGTTACCCCTCAGAAGAGGAGGGGCTGAAGACCTTTCGCTGCAGCAATGCTCAGCTGACCGAGGTCCCCAGAGACATCCCCAACGACACCAAYAAGCTCTACCTGGACTCCAACCAAATCCCCTTCCTGCCTCGCGATGCCTTCCGGGACCTGCCGCTCCTTCTGGAGCTGGATTTGTCCCACAACGCCATCGCCAGAGTCGAAAGTGGGGCTTTCCGTGGCCTGGCAGAGCACCTGCACTCTCTGGACTTGTCTTCCAACMGGCTGGTGTCAGTCAGCAAAGACGCCTTCAGCAACCTGAAGGCCAAGGTGAACCTGTCCAACAACCCGTGGCTGTGTGACTGTCGGCTGCAGGAGCTGATCCGYGCCGTGGAGCTGGCGGCCGACTCCTCGGGGGGCATCGTGTGYGACTCCTCTGCACAGGAGGAGCACGTCGGCAAAGCTTTCCTGCAGGTCATTGCCGACACGGACTTGTGCAATGTATACAAGAAGACCACGGACATCGCCATGCTGGTCACCATGTTCGGCTGGTTCGCCATGGTGATCTCCTACCTGGTCTACTACGTGAGGCAGAACCAGGAGGACGCCCGGMGGCACCTGGAATATCTCAAGTCACTGCCCAGCAAGCAGCGGCGATCAGAGGAGTCGTCCACCATCAGCACTGTGGTGTGAGCACTGGCATCCTGCTGGACATGGGGACGTGTGGAGCCGCTCCAGGGGCTCACCACGGCTGCAGGAGCTGTCACCAGCCACCAGCATCGCACAGAGATACTCACGGATTTGTTCTGTTCTCCTCCTGGCAGCAGCAGCCACGGCTGATGAGTCCCTGGCTCTGGTGGCTGAGGTCAGGGATGGATATCAGCCATGAGCACTGAGGATCCACAGCATCCTCCCAAGTTATGGAGGACTRGAGTGACCCAGAGTATCCCCCTGGCATGTGGCCATTGCTCTGACTGACCTGGACATTTGGACTTCATCTAAAACTTTTTATATTTTCTTTSCAGAGATCCCTCGGGACATTAATGGAATCGGTGTTTGCATCCCTCCCTGGCTCCCCCTTGGCTGCCCAAGGGATGGTCTGGCAGCCCAGGACAGCCGGGGCCTGGYTCCCTGCCAGGAGGGCAGTGAGAGGGAGCAGTACAGCTGCAAGGGTGATGCCCTGCCAGGTCACTGTCCTGGAGGGTCAGGGTTGAGACTGCAGCCAGTGGGACCAAGAGGTGGGGCAGGAGGTGGGCACACACCGGTTGGTGCTGYCCCATCTCCCGTTTCATCTCCCTGCTCCTTTCCCAGCACACTCAGGTGGGGCAAAGGATGTGGGGGTCCCCACTGAGAGATGAGGTCACTGATGGGCAAAGCAGAGTGTGGGGAATGAGAACAAAATGGGAATGAAATCCCTGGGGCTCTCCTTTGGGGCTGCCAAGGGATATGGTGCTGATGGAGGGGAACTGAGGGGATCCAGCCCTGCTGGATRTTGGGGAGCAGTTTCCCCTCGGTGCTCCCGGGGTCCACGTGGGAGGTTGTTTGCAGCACCCTTTGCCATCTGCTCCTGTCACTGCCGGAGGGGAGCTCTCACCTCACAAGCTGCTGACCGCTCACTRTGATGGGAAGTGGGATGGAGGGAGCTGCCACAACTCCTCTGATGTCTCACCACTCTGCACTGCTGTCAGGAGCCTGAATCTCCCCTAAAATACCCCTAAATCCCCTCCTGACACTTCCAGTATTGGGTTGCAGGTTCCTGGGGGTGGTGGTGGAGGTGATGTTGGGCACAGGACTGRCACAGGCAGGGGTCAGTGCCCACCTTTGGGCACGTGGGTGGCAAGTGGCAACTCAGAGCAAAGTGAGAGCGGACCCAGACTCTTCCACCTGTGTGTCTGGCCTCTGAAAAAGCTGATTTTGGCCTTTTTCTAAACCAACCAATGCTAAATTGCCTTAATTCACCAAGAGCACCAACCAAAGCTGCTTGAACCTCCTCTGTACTGGGCCAGACCTGCCTTGGTGCCAGGCCCAGCCTCAGCCCCTGGTGTGGGCAGTGTCTTTTGGCACAGACAGACCCGTGGGTCTGCCCCCTCGTGTCCTGGTGCCGGCGGGAGCCGTGGGATGGAGTCGATCAGCAGCAGGGCCCACGACCTTCTACAAGTGCCTAATTCCAGCACAGAGCAGGAGCTCTGTAACGCACAAACACCTCGGGCCCAGCTCCCATCCRGGCATCCCCACAGCCCCACGGCAGCTCCTTCCCTCTCTACAACTGGCTGAGGAGAAAAGGGGCTGGGGGAGGCCTGACTGACCCTTYCTGCTGCTCCCCCCAGGCTGCCACCTGTGCACGCAGCATGGGGGATACCGGGACCACCTGACCCATCCGTGTTTGGGTTAAGGGACCTTTTAGTTTTTACTTTATACGACAATAAATTTGTCTTTTACTTTGGAGCTGGTGTGTGTGTCTGTGGGTCAGCRGGCCCTGGTGACGTTGTGGCTGTAAAGGAAGGATGGATGTGCCCGTGATGTGTTTCTGGGCAGGCGCTTGCAGAAACAGGACACCCGTCCCTCCGGTAACCCTGCCCCAGCCTTCAATAATGAACACCCGCGGCTCGGCTCAGGTCGCTGGCAYGCTGCCGGTCCCCGCGTCACCCAGGACCCCGTGGAGTGGTTTCCCAGGGCTCYGCTCCGTTCCCTGCCCTCCCATCCCCACCCGAGCAGCCCCCGGCATCGCGTTGCACACGGGCAGGATGATGACGACCGGGAACAAGCCCTTCCCGCAGCACGGTCTCACCGGTTCCACAAGAGGCCTCTCCGGTCGGTCACTGCCCCATCCCGGTTTGCCGGYGCCGCTCCCCGTGTGATCCGTGCTGGAGCGTTGTGCTGTGGAAGGTGAAACCCTTAACGCAGAGTGACAGTTCCCGCTCGTGGGACATTAACCTTGTTTGTCACTCGGCTGTCTCCAGACACAGACCCCGGGCTCTGGAGCAGATGGCTGCAGTCCCCCGCTCCGGTCACTCCCTGGGGATCCTCCTCCCGCGGCTCTGGGAGCAGCTGGGGAGAGCTGGGGGACACGCAGGACACGTGGCCGCAGCTGCCACCCTGTCCGTGGGGCCGTGGCTCCCTGGAGTCCTGCCGGTGTCCCCTCTCCCGGGGCTGGATGATGCTRAGTCCCCCGGGGTCAGCCCTGCTCTGGATCCTGTCTGTGGAATTATTTGGACGGAAACCATCAGGCTCATTACAGCCCACACTGATGAGCACGGGGGAGAGGAAATGGATTCCAGGAGATTGTCTGGATGTGGAACAGCCACTGGCCAGCGTGCGTGTACAGGGGGATAACACACATAAGAAGCCTAATAAAAGTCTGCAGTAATCTTTGGGAAAGTAATTTGGTCTGGAAGGGATGGAATTGTGTTGGATTTAGGTTGTCACTACTGTTGGATGTTTGATCAGGAGTGACACGGAGTGGGGAAGAACAGAAAAATGGGTTTATGGGACTATTTCCCAGAGGTGTTGTGGCCAACGTGGAGTGTTGGGAGGTCTCAGAAGCAGGGGGCACAGCCTGCCAGACAGCTTAAATCACAAGGAGGGATTTTTCTCACCCCACTCTTTCCAGTTGCGAGGTGCCGTGGGTCACATCCTCCTGAGAGCGGGAGCCAGCGCTCGGCATGGTGGGTGCAAGGGGCTCAGTGTTAGAGGCAGCACTTCTCCTTCAGCGAGGAATTAGAATCATCCCTTTTAATACCCCTCTCTGGGTAATTCGTTTCCTGATGTAGATTTATCCGCAGGGATCAGCAGCGGGAGAATTAACAGCGTGACCTCCTTCTGTGCGTTCCAGCACGCCGGTAAATCTCCGTTATTAACTTCCAAGGAGCTCTGCCCGCCCAGTCATTAACGGCCTGTTCTYCTCTCCAGGATGGAGGAAAATGTGTCACTGGGGCAAGATCTATGACCCGAATCCTCTTGGCGGGGGCGACTCTTTCACCTGCTTGGCTCTGAAATCCCTTGGGAGCACAGGGATGGAGAGAAYTCCTGGGAAGCCCCCAGGATATCCATTGCCAGTGGGCATCCTGCCCGTGGGTCTGTGCTCCCAGCAGCAAGGGGGAACTTTGGGGGAATTTTGGGAGAAAGTTTTGGGAGAAGCCCTGTTTTCTACAGCCCATGAGTGATGTGTGTTCAGCAGCGGCGGCCCCAGACTGCATCCTGAACTTCAAACTGATTAGATTTCCAAGAGGGAAGGAAGGATGTCTAATTGTTTAATTTCCACAATTAGAAAATTATTTATCAATAATTAGGAGTGATGGCARCGATTACACTGGGATTAAAGCCAGGCTACACTTCATCACCCGCCTTTCATTCAGGGATCTTATTTATTTCTTTTCATCCCCCAAAAAATCCATGTACAGCTGYGTTGCTGCCAATAATGAATCATCTTTGTTCACTGCCTGCACAGGACTCATTAATCCAATGATGCCAGTGGTTCTAAGAAGGCTGTTGTGCACAATGCGTGGTCACTGGACTTGGGCAGGAGGAAATTTAATTTCAGTGGGYAGGAAAGTGAAGCAGAGCTGAAAATCACCATAGCACTTCCTGTGCCTGTGGTTGAGAGCTCGGTGGTTCAGCCACTGCATGCTCCCCTCCAGACTCCCTGGTGATTCTCCCTCTCATCACTCGTCCAARGCAGGCATGGTTGAGTGCAGGGATCATTTTCCAACAGCCGTTCTTTTAAGATGAAGTTGTACCAGTTAATAAAATTGCCTGATCCTCAAAATTTTCCATCTCAGAAGGAAATGTCATAAATCCAAGTATTTTTCCTGTTTCTGGAGACTCAGGGCTGTCAGCATCCAGCATCTGGGGCTCATGTTCATCCTCCTGTGGAGGCACTGGGGACCTGTGGCTGTGGCCACAATGTCACCTGGGCACTCTTGGAACACTCTTAACTCTCAGTCAAGTTTTGTTTTCACACAGCTTTCCACCCAAATGCCTCCTGGATGGGTCTTTGTGGGAATTCCTGGGGGATGGGTTAGCCAGGGCTGTGCCACACCTGTCCCAGGTGTGATGAGTCCCTGAGATGTGCCAGTCCCAGGACTCCTGCTCTGGCTGCTCCTTACAGCCCTCCTCCTTATCAGCTGCAAGCAGGGGCCATGAATTGTGTCCTGGGCAGGTCTGCAGCTCCTTCAACTCCTCTTGGCTTAAATTTAGAGGAAAATCTCAAYTGTGGGTTAATAAAACTGCTGCAGGGATTTAAAAGACAACTTTCCCACCAGAGCAGAGGTGTCACTGTCACCCGACGGACGTGTCCYGTCACGGCTGGCAGTTCTGCAGTGAGTGTTTGAACACGTGTTCCTTAAGTGTTTCTTAAGTGGGTTGTTCCAGGCAGCTCTGATGGGAAAACAATGGGTTGCAGCTTCCAGCTGGCAGATTACTCCTGTTATTTTTGCCATTTGTGGATGTTTCAAAGCTCTCGTGTGCTGTCAGTACGTGCTGAGATCCTGGWTGTCTGTGTGGAGAAGGGGACAGGAAGTTTGAAGTTCTAAATTTATTTATTTGTGAGCACTTCTCAGTGTTGTCAAGGTGTTGTGATGATCCTTGGCACAGAGCGAGGTCGGAGCTGTGGGACCAGGGTAGGTTAAAGTGGGGGTTCAAAGGGCTGGTTGTCCCAGGGGTGATGAGTTCTCCACCTCACCAAGAGTATCAGGCTCAGCCCAGGTGCCCATGATCACCCCTGTAAAGCCAGAGCCATGCGGAAGAGGAGGATTTGAGGAGGGTTTAAAGCAGTGAGGAAGGACTTTGCAATTCCTCATGAGCTGTTGTTGCTGTGGGAGGTAGAGAGGGATGGGAACAGCTGAGGTGAGAGCTGATAACAGGGATTTGTAAGTCGTGAGGTGTGACAGGGAAGGGAGAGGTGTGAAGGRTAGTGTCAGCAACGAAAGGCTCAGCTGCCATCCCAGGAGCTGAACTCTGGCTGGATGCAGAGGACTTTCACACAGGAAAGGTCAGAGAAAAGCAACTTCCTGTCAAGTTTTCACGAGTCTCCACTGAATTACTGACACAAACTCCTTTGCAATGTGATGCTTAAATATTTGAGCTATTTTTCTAGTTTTGGTATCACAGAATTCCAGGATGGTTTGSGTTGGAAGGAACCTTAAGGTTCATCAGTTACACCCCCTGTTATGGGCAGGGACACCTTCCCTAACMCAGGTTTTTCCAAGCCCCWTCCAATCTGGCCTTTGACACTTCCAGGGGTGGGGCAACTTCTCTGGGCARCCTTTGCCAGRGCCTCACCACCCTCACAGTGAARGATTTCCTCCATRTATCCAAATTAAAWTTTCCCATTCAGTTTGAGACCCACTGAAGAAGTGGAGATGCTGTAAGAGCTTTTAGAAGGAAGAGTGGGTACGGCTCATTTGTGACTCTCCGTGGCACTTATTATGTACTTACTGCTTTTTTTCCCTCATAATTGATGCATGTGGCATTTTCTCCTCCTGAAATAGGCCAAGAGAACCAGGCAGCACCGCCGAGCCCGGCTGCTTCATCTGTCTCAGCCTGAGCCGTGCGCGGTGTCCAGTTGGCAGCCAGGATAATCAGCCCAAGGGCAGTGGAAATGCTCATTACAGCACACTTTATTCCTGAGTATTTAATAAGTAATGACTCTGAAAAGCTCGGAGCGGGGTCTGTGCCCGTGCCATCTCCTGCTGTGTTCCTGTCACAGTGGATAAGTTAAACTGGGTTGAATTGGGTCGATTTTTGGATGAATACCCACCAAAGAATTTCAAGATGCTGTAAGAAGTTGGGGTTGTTGAGTGGGAGATGTTTCTTTTGCTTGACTTGGTCCTGCTTTGTGAAAGAAAGGAGGAAAGCTGGGCACTGCCTTCCAAGGCTCAGTGTGTGCACAGAGGCTGAGTTCTCTGGTGTCCCTCCATAAAGTGAGTCTGGAAGGTAGAAACTCCCACAGGGAATAGCTTAGAAAGAAGCTCTGAAAGCTCATCTTCCAGGAACTCTGCCTCAGGAGGCTTGGCTGCTCAAGGGCCCGTGCTGGGGCTGGGGAGAATTTGGAGTTACATATGAAGTTCTTGATAGTGGTCAAACAATCTTTACTCACTCAGTGAGCAGGGTGATGGATCGCTGCAGATCCAGCAGCTAACCTTCCAAAGCGGGTCGGGATGAGGTTTTTCTGGGAAGAAAACGTTCCCATTAGCTCAGTACTTTGGCAATTTGTATCATCCGGTGAACTCGTCAGGAATTTACAGCTGGTGTAAGAGGATCATCTGTTCACACAGCACCTGGGGCCAGCCGGGCCCTGTGCAAGGGTTGGATGCAGCTGAAGGGGAAGATGCAGCAGGAGGAGGTGGGAGAGGCTCTGCAGATTCTCTGCTTCCCTCTGGAATGTTCTGTTTTTATTYTGGGGACAAGGAGAGAACCATAACCTGGATCCTTAATCCTCCTGAATG